CCGCTGCCCTCCCCTGCCCCTGGGCGACGGGACCGCCGAGCCCTGCTCTCTGCCGCCCGCCCGCTCGCCCCTCAGCGGAGGGCAGCGCGTGCTGTGAGGGGCGCCCGGCTCCCGCGGGAGGCGACCCCGAGCTGGGCCCTCCGTGACACCCCGTCCCCGGGGGCTCGGCACAAGGGAGCGGTCGCTCTCCCGCCCCTCAGCAAAGCAGGGCATTCAGACAAAGAGCCACGTCCCTTTGAGCCCCCTTGAGAGCCCCTCCCTGGGCGAGATTTGTGGAGCGTTGTGGGGAAACGCCTGATCAAACTTAATATTTAAAGCGGGGGGGAAATCGCTGGGAACCCAGCGAGGACAAGCCAGGGATACAAATAATTAAAAACAAGAAGAAAAACCTTTCTTGGAGGAAAGGGGCAATGGGAGTGAGGGGCAGAGCTTTGTCACCCGTGGATGCTGGAGGGAGAGAGGGACAGCAAAAAAGCCCCAGCCAGACCCAGGTCCCTCTCCCTTAGAGCCTCGGTGCCACAGGGGAGACTGGGCAATGGACCTACGGGCTGACCTAGGGAACGGCAATTTTTATGCTCTTTAAATTCAAAATGTTAATCCTGACATTCAAAACCCCTTTCTAGGGGGAGGCATATCGTACAGATGGGAGCCTCTGGCATAGTTTGCAGCTGCCAGTACGTAAGCAAGTCAAGGCTTGAAGTCTAGCACCGATAAGGTGATGTGAACTTTACTGCTAAAAAGTTCACTAGGTAAAAGGAGTTGGGTAGAAAACGTACATGATTTAACTGCAAATGCTGATGGGACGTTTTTATAGGGGCCGCTGTCTTTTTTGAGGTTGTAGTTTTTCCAAAACCAGAGTCTGAGGAACTGATCCAAACAGAGGTGGTGAAAGATTATTTGTAATCTCTAAAAATAATTTTGAGGAAATGAAGGGATCAGAGTTAGTTTTGTCCAGTTTTGCTAGCTGCTAATGAGCAGTGTTAATGGTTAGCTAATCATGTCACCAATTCCTGGGGCTCAAGAATACGCTTCACAAAATGATCCAGGAACTTTTGGCATTGCGGGTTTCTGTAAGGTCTCCCTGAGTTTGGGCAAATAAATTTTGTTTCTGAACCAATGTTTCAAATGCAAAAAGGTGTCTAAAAACCAAGCAGGGCTGTTTCTGATTCCTACATTCGCAGGAAGGTTGTGAAAGCCTGCTTTCATCTGTTCAGTTAAAATGTTTTTAAATGCAGCCTGCATTTGAATGCAGCCTTAGTTCCTGTGGAATCCACTTGTTTTCAAGTGGGAGAAGAACATGTCCCACGTGGTCCCCAATGTATTTAACAATTCTGCTCTCAAGGTGAGAGCTTGAGTTGAATTTATTTTGCCCCTTCAAAGCTCTGTTGGCTCTGGAGTGGTAACAGCAGGAAAATAAAATCAATCAATACAAAAAAATGTATTTTTGCTGCTAATAATAGTAGTGAGTATATGCAGGGAGCTGGTCTGCTACTCCAAGAGATACTATTTTAATACAGATGCTTTTTAAATTAGGACTACATTTTAAGGCCTTCTGATTCATCTTAGAAAAGCTTGTAATGCCTTCTGTCTAGAGACAAAGCTGCCTTTATTACAGATCTTCTATGCATCTTTTCTCCCATTTTATTTATGTCATGTATGTAGACAGGCTTCCTCTGCTCCTGCTGTTTTTTCCTCACTTGAACCACTACTAGCTGCTGTGAAGATGATTATGATGTCACTAAAAGGAGATTGTACTAGAGTACGGGTAGAAATAAGGACAGAGGAAATGTTCAGAAAGAAATAACTTGTTTACATTTAAATGCCACTATACAATAGATACAAAGTAAAAAGACACTTTATCCAGAGAATGTTTCAAATAGTGTTTTGTACCCAAGTTTTCCACGAGAAATTAATGTCTTTTAAAACAAATTAATGTCTTTTAAAACACTTAAGGGACTGACCAATTTATAAGACTAATGACATTCAAAATTACAGTTGCAAACCCATTTCTAAATCATATTTTAGTACCTCATTACTGTGACTCATTACATATTAAAGTTTATCCACTCTTTCGAGATCTCTGTAAGTACTGCAGCTTCAGTGGGAGAAATTAATATTTCACTGTTCCTTTCTATAATCTGATGTTTTACCTTGTCTTTATGAGTCTTTCAGTCAGTCATGGGGAAGAGAAAAGGTTTTGTTTTTTTTAAATATAGGAAAATGTGATTAAATTATTGCAAATTGCCTGTAGGATTTAGGGGCACATGCACTGCAGTAAATTAAGTTGCTTTAAACTCCCTTGCTAAAGGGTTGTCATTGCAAGTCAGTGTTCCTTCAGCTTCTTTGGCAGTTATATTTTTGGGGCAAACACTGTCTGCCGTGGATGTTGTGCTATGTAAGAAAATTGGAAAGAATGGAGGAGGAGGAAAAATGGAAAAGAAAGAGATGGAAGAAAAGCAGCAGTGTAGTGAACTCACTCTTATGACTTGCTGTTTATTTGAGCAGGCAAGACAAGGATTTTAATCTGCCCCATTTCTGAACAATCACAGATGTGAAGAGAAAGGGAGGAACGGATTTTAACCTAGTTCACTTTTTAGCTCAAGGTATTTTTTTTATTTGACCTCAGTTTAATGGAAATAATTCTAGAGCAAAATGTAGTGCACATGTTTAGTTTCAGTTCTTTGAGCATACGGACTCTACTTAATATTCTGAATTTTTTCTTAGTTGGCTTTTGGGACAGTTTGTCCAACCAGAAATTTATAAACCTGGATTTTAGGAATCTCTGGTCACCTTTACCAGGCACTTCCTAAAGTGCATAAATCTAGTTGACCTGTCTGATTCTCTGTCCTCTAGTTGAAATTATTTACATATTTTATAGCAATATTAGATTAATACTGAGAATACTTGCGTGTTCAACTCTCTACTGAAAAACAGGATTAGAATGCACTGGTATTTCCGACTTGCTTTCAGTGAATGTATTCACAAAGACGAGGGTGGAGGAACTGGATGATTTATTTTTGTATTTTCTCCTTTAAGCAAAGAAAAAAAAAGAGAGAATGCTTTCTCATAACAGAGGAGGGAGGTAACAGCACTTGGCGAAAACATAACGTTTTGCTGGAAATTATTTTACTTTGTTCCTGAAAAGTATGCTATTTATTGGCAGGTTAGCACAGTGTTTTACTTGTGTAATATGAAATTAGTGGAGGAGGGGGTGAAGAGACCTCAGTCCAGATTATTGGTGACAGTAAATTTGTTTTCTTGTGCTAAATAGGCATAAAATGGGTTTATCCAGCTACCTAGTGGAATACATAGACAGTGTAGTTGGGCCTTTCTTAACCTTCTCTGCCCCTACTGCTTTAAGCCTCAGCACAAGACATAGCCAGGTCATTTCTGTACCCTGATATAGTCTCAAAGTGCTGGAACACCCCATGGCCACAATTTTTCCAACTATTTAGTTGGTCTAATAAAAAAATATCACATTTTACCCAAAGAACCTTGTCTGCCCATGGTCAGAAAACATTTTTCCTGGTTAAAGAGGCTCAGTATTACATCTCAGCTATCCCCCGTTACTAATCATTTGCTGTGTTTTTGCAGTTCCTTAGCTAAACTCATTAAAATCACACATTATGAGTACCACTGATCATTCCACATCCTCCTTGCAGCAGCAAAACAACCAGCCCATCTCCTGAGGTGAGAAATGTGTTTATCAAGTTTCAGTTCCATGCAAATTATAACAGTTTTTAGATGCATGCTGAGAACAAGGGTTGTGCTGGACACCCTTAAAGACTGAATGCCTGACTCTGCAGGAAGCAGAAAGTCAGTTTATTTCACAGATTGTTTTTGTTCTTTCTGATGCTTCTATGGATTGAGTTAAATCATTCCTAAAAAGTAAATAAATACAGCAGAGAAAAAAGCAAATAGTTGTGTAAATAGGATTGGCCTGCTCGTCTCAGCTGCTGAAACAGCAGAATGATTCAATTAAATAAATAATGATTTTTACCAAACAATATTCATGTTAATCTGTTGCCAACACATTTCCTGCTATTTTGGCTGCTCTTTATTCTTAATGTTCAATAAGAATGCAACTGTGTTAACTAAGAATCCTTAGTGGTTCTGTATACTTCATCACCTTTCTCCTATGACTCAATGGTGCTTTATAAGACACTTGTTATGGAGGGAAGCACACACACACATATAAATTGGGATATACTAGAATTAAAAGGATAAAATACAAGAAAGAAGCTTATTTTCCTGCAAAGATTGTGATGATAGATGAGGACTATTTTCTCTTGCTGGCTGGGTTTCTCTTGATGGCTAGCTGGAGGGTCATCAGCAAGTCTAGCACTGTAACTATTATCTTTATCTTGCTCTGTCACTTTTATTAGTTTTTCAGCCTTTGCAGTGGAAGTAGTTAGTGTGTGAATGTATAAGGCAGAGCACTCAACATTTTCTGTGATCTTCATGATGTGATTTCTGTTATTCCACTTTTATAATATATCACCAGGTTAGGGTCGTTTTAGGTCTCTGAAACATAGTTGGAGAACTTTTTAATATAGAAACAGATCAAAATGGCTATTTTCATATAGGCTTTGTGGGTATGTATTAGCATTTTAAAGTAAAATAAACTTACAATTAGAAGTTCTAGCATATGGAAGGTGGAATCTGATGGCACAGAGAACCAAATATAAATAATAGAATTTACACAGCATAAAGATACTATACAAAATGCCAAATTCTGTTCCTTGGCTTTTCTATGTTGTAGAATCATATACAAACACACACACTCAAGATAGGTAAATGTTTCAGAAAGCACCTGTGAACATTTGTTCACATTTCTAAATGAATTTGCTCTGGCTCTTTGTTCACCTCTGGCATTCTTTCTGTGATATTTTAGCAAATGACTTCACTGGCAAAAACATTCATAGAAACAGCACTTTGTAAGCAAACATTGGAAAATATACACTGAATTTTAAGGATCAGATCACAATGCATAAGAAGGTACCTGGTTTCTGGACGTTAAAGAGGGCACACATTTCTCTGTAGAAAAATATTCCCTTGATGTTCAGTTATTTTTGAGAAATATGTATGTACACACTCTCATTTCTCTCTCCACAGATCCTACAGATAGCACAGCTGGAGTCAGATGATATTTCGGCACTGCTGTTCTTGAAGTTGCCAGAGAAAAAAACCCAAGACTTTACACTTGAAGAAGCTCAAAAGCTTTTTGTCTCAGTTGGTAGCCCTGTTTTTTTAAATAAAAGGAGGAGTAAATGTCTGTGAAACAAGCTTTTCTAGCATATAATGTGCATGCAGCCTTCCTATGCCCTGATGAACTATAGGTAATTACCATTTGGTTGGTGGCAAAGAGTCAGCTCTGAAGCTAATGTGGAGAATTAAAGCAGAATGTACAGAAGGCAGCACCAAAGGAAGACTGAATGTACAAAGTAGAGAGATAGCATGGTGGGCTATCTGACTCATTGGTCTCTGGTCAGAATAAAAGTATTAGATAGCTAAACTGCTGTTCTAATTCTTATCTTAAGATCGTTTCAGTCACACTGAACTATTTGGACTTCAAGATGGATTCCTGACAGTTCATTCTTTAGAACAGTACCATGGAAAGACGGTCAGATGAGGATCATACCAAGAATGCTGTGAATCATCAAATGGTTTAGGAGACAAAGGATTACTTCCCTCATTTCATTATAAACAGAGGCTGGGCATGGAATATCATGCTCACAAGCCTGAACAGTTTGTACTTTTGTTTAATTATGTGTATTAAGACAGCTGATCCCTGAATAGTTCATCTGTGCTATTTTCTGCCCGGTGCCTCTCCTGGGTCTCAAGGAGGTCTGTTCCTTTGCAGCTGATATACAGTTTGGGAGAAAATGAATGAGGTTCACAACTCCAAGGTCCCTTAGCTGACAGTTCTGTGAAGGAACTGAAAGCCTGAATGAAGAAAAAGGGGCCTTTGAGGTTAAAAAAGTTCCCACAGGGTACCCAGAGTGTTGCCTATGATGGGTGAAGACTTCATTTGCATGATTCCACAGTCAAGCAGTCTTATTTCGTATGACTGCAGGGCGGGTATAGAACTCCTCACTCAGCATGACCATGCCCAGGATTGTCTAGCTCAGGCATGACTGGCATGTGTGGCTGTGGTGGCCCTTTCTGCCATGAATAAGGGATACCATTTGGTCCAGTGTAACCAAATTCAGTGGCACTGTCATGTGATATGTGCTTGATCGCTCTAATTTTTTAAGCAATATGTAAGAGAAACCATATATACAATATGTATGAGAACCATAGACTGTGTATGAGAAACCATATATACATACGTTCAGGCAAGATTTCTGTTTGCTCTGGGCTATTGTCATGCATTTTAGACTTCCAGCACTATTTTTAGTATTTTCTCTTCTGAGCTCGCTTGTCTGATAAATTATTCCTTTGGGAATAAATTTGATCTGGAAAGATGCCTAAGGCAAAGCAGACTTTCCAAATTGTTTTTCTGGCCACATCAATTTAGGCCTAAAGAAACTGCAGCACCATCTGCTGTGGAGTAGTCTGAATTCTGGGAAACTGCTGAAAGATGCATTAAACCATGGAACAATCATTTTACATAAGATGTTGGATACGGTGCAGGACTCTGACTGAAAGGGGGCCAAGAATGGAGTCTCTGGTCCAGATTTGTGACAGCTTTGATGTTTACTGGGGGGCACAAACCAAACTCAATTCAGGCAGAACTAGCCAGAGGAGGATCCCAGGTGTGCCAGCACCCAGAGACAATCTCTCTAGCTGGTCCAGATAACTTCGTATTTGTTCTTTAGGTGTTTATTATAAAAATGAATATACATTGCTGTAGAGGAAGTCAAACAGAAGGAAGTATCTTCAGTTAGTTCACTCCCCAAATCTCTCTCCTATTCCCTAGTTTCAAATGTAACCAAGAGAAAGATATCCACATCAGATTAGGAACTGCATTTTTGTTAGTTTTTTTAACAAGTTTAAATTTGTGCATGAACAGTCTATTATGCAACATCCTCAACAGATGCCCTTCCCTGGAAACAGAAGCCCTTCAGAGGACTGAAGAACGGTACTGTGATACCAGAAAAGTTGTCTATGTCTGTACCAACCATACTGTTGGTCCAATGAAAGATATCACCCACAAGAATTCTTGCCTTTCGCACATCTCCTGGACCAGATGTTGAGGCAACAATATCACCTCAACACTATCTTCTCAGGAAATAAATTTGATACTTTGGAGAAGTACTGTCACTGAGAGCTATCTAGGGTTTAGATAGGCTTAAGTGAACTTAGATGGGCCAACAGCTAAGTCATTCAGTCACCCATTACAGAAATGCTGAGAGCAGGATGATGCTTTGTGTAATTATTGACAGATGTCCACAGGACCTGCACCAGAGAAAGGGCAGAAGAAACTGCTTGGCCTAAGATGCTGACAAACTTTGGATTCACTGGAGGGGTGATCTCAGGTGAAAGGAAGGAATGCCTGAAGACTTTGGTGCCATATTTTCTCATATACCATACCTACTGTATCTTGTTTTTGGGAAGGCAGAATGAAGAAAAAATATTTTGTTCCCAGGATTATGGCTGCATTGAACAGGGACAGAGCCTAATTTCACCTAATTTACCCTCCCTTTCCTGCCTAACTAAAGCTAAACCCCTAGCTGCTGCTAAAGTTTGGCCTCCATGGATAGATGTAGGATATTGAAAAGAGCTAAATAGTCTCCAAGGCTGTGAAATAGAAGGAGAGAGACCAGGAACAGGTAGCAGACAGCAAAATTGGCCAAACAAAGATTGGCGTATTGCGTGGAACATCAGAACCATTAAAAAGGCGAGACTATGGTTAACACCTGTTGAATGAAGAATGATACACCATTAAGTCAGTTGACTCCCTCAGCTGCCTGAATAGTAGGGCTACTGCTGCTACATAATACAGCAGAAATCAAAGCAGGGAGCTTCTATTTCAGGCAGGAAATCAGTTTTACTGCTTAAGACGGGCACCCCAATTTTGTGGGGGTTGATTTTTGGGGAAAAGGTACATCTGCTATGCAAGAAAATAGTGTGTTTTCAAAGACCTACAAATCTCAAGAATTTAAAAAGCACAGTATATGTAGTTAAAACAGTCCTTTGCTAAGGGATTTTCTTGTTTTTGTGCCTCTTCACCTCTACTTATGCTGTTCATAGCCCTTGTTGCAGAGACAGATAAAGACTAACACAATTTTTCAATAATCAGCTTTATCTTTGATTAGGAACTCGCAAACCGGCTAAAGCTGAGGAGTGAAATGTTGCCTTTGTAGAAGCTAATGGTAGTTTTTACTTCAGTAAAGCCAGGATTTCACCCTATTAATCTGATCCTGAAACTCCTAACATTCTGTTATTGGCCACACAAGTGAATCACAGAACAAAGAGCTTGTTCTTTTGGCTTAATTTGGTACTCCTTTCTTTTTAGCCTTTCTTTTTGTGAATGTCTGCCATGGGCATCCAAGTATCTGTGTTGTACAATGATACAGAGACAAATCAGACAAGACTTTCAGCTGGTATGGATCAGTGTGGCTGTATTAAAATCCAGGAAGCTACACTAATTTACACCAGCTGAGAATCTGACTCACTATACATTTGTACATGAGAATCCATAACTACTTCAGTTCTTTGTACGCTTGAGCAGATTACATTAGCGGCAAAGTTCCTTGGGTCAGGGAATTAAAAAAATCTAAGTAAGGAAGCTCCAGGGGATAGTTTATATGAAGAATACTGCACAATAGATTAGCTCTGGGATCTTCATAGATCTCTACAAAACTCTTCTCTACAGGATCAGGCCCTTAGGGTGAGAATCTTTTAGACTTATGGGCGAAACTGGTAAAAGAAACCTATTGAACAAGTAATATGTGTGGCCAGCAAAGCCTATGTATTATTCTTGGGGTTGCTCCTTAAAAAACAAAACCCTTAAAAAAAATCAGGACACTTAAAAAAGTATACAGAAGATTTTACATATAAAAAAGCATTTTACACATGAAAATGGCTCCAGTGCCTCATTTTTTATAAATGACCATTTTCTTTTCTGAAAATTACCAAAATGGTTTCTCTACTTAGATTATTTAACTACCTCACCTTATCAGTAACTTTTCAGTAGCATTGATCAGGGCAACAGAGTGAGTCTATTCAGAAATACCTAAGAAGGGAGTAGAGGGAGTTCGGATCTAATTCTCTTTTTTTTTTTTTTTTTTTTAACTGTCCCAGGAAGTTTTTAAAACCTTTATGTTTATTTTTCTGTCAGAACGTTCTACTGGGAGCATTATAGTAGCTTTCTTTGGATCTTCAGAAGACTAAGACATAAAAAACATTAAAGACTAGTGATCTTTGCTTTATTTTGCTCACACTGGTGTTCATTATTTAAAGGGATGTTCATTTCTGTAGCAGCGAGTACTGCCAGATACAGTTGTTGGAGTGGGAGGTAAGTGAGGTGTAAGGAATAATCCTAAAGCCACTTTCTGCTCCAAAGCTGTTTCTTGGCTGAAGCACCCCATTTATGGAGGATTAGAATGAATCTGGAAAGGCCTATACAGGAGGGAGGGAGGCAACCACTCATTTACATATACCATATTTACTTGAATACAAGATGAGGTTTTTTCCCCTCAATCAGCACGAGGGAAAAAAGCCTCTCATCTTATATTTGCATACAAAGCAGAGGGGAGAGAAGACTGCTAAGCTTCAGTCGGGGCCAGTCAGACCCACAGCAGCTTCCTGCCCCCCACCATCCGCTAACCGACGAAACATTCAAGCAGTAAGCTGTCATATTGAATGAAATAGTTTGAATGTTTGTAATAGTTGCCCATTAGCCAGTTTAGGAAGAAGACAAGATTTATTTCCTTATCTAGGCCATTGTTTTGGTCTATGTGCGGAAGGTCCTGACTTTGCTCAAAGTCTTAACTCTTGAATTTTATCTTTAGAGGCCTTTAACAAAGAGAACCTAAAAATGACCCTTAAGCAAATATCCCAAATTCCGAGAAATCAAACCCTAGGGCCTTTGAAAAAATTGGAAAGAAAAGGTCACTTGCAGTGGTATGGAAGTTCCCCAAAGTAATTAAAATGATCAACAAAAGAAACTGATT